CAAATTTAGACTTTTCTTGACCTTATTGATTAATTGTGCCAGTAATAATGAGGTTCATTCCGGCACCCTTTAGGATTTCAATTAATTGACGTTGTAATTCCTTGGTTTGCTCTAATGTCGTATGACCACTTAAAAGATCGTCTGTAAAAAATGAATATTCTAATGCTTGTGCTGCCATAGGATACCTTATAGCTTCATCCCTTGCTAATTGACGTAAAGTTCTTATGGCTAAAAATGATGCTGCTTTTCTTCCATATGTCACCGTGAGTTGGTATTCTCGTAACGGCTCATGGGGATTATTTCGTCATACGATAGACTGTAGAGGTTGATCAACTGCTCGAACAAGTATTTGGCGGAATATTGTTGTTGCATCTGAAAGTATATCTATTGGCCTTGATATGTTGTACTCCGGATCTCCTAAATTTATATGTTTTATGAGGTCATGTCTGCTTGCTGAAGGTACTGTTTGGTAAGTTGTTGATTACCTGTGTTATTTATTACTAATGCATCTGTTGTGAATTCATAATCGCTATAAATAGATTGACAATGAATATTTATTACCCCTTTGCTATGCTTGGTTCCAGTACCGATACCAGATACTGATGCATGATAACGATGCCGTTGTAATCCTAACATCTGTGTATTGCATGAATGGATTCAGATATAAATATATATGAATCTTTAATTGAAGCTACGAAACACTCGGACTTCAATTTTTACCGGGTAAATTAATCCATTTTGACTTAGTATGATACTTTACCGCCAACCAAGCTATACCAAAGCGCACTATGTACTATTACGAAAATAAAGTATTTGTTGGTATACAGTTTTGAAACCCTTATGTGTATGTTGTCGTAATATAAAATACTTTATAATCACACACACTAAGTTGATATAATTTATTCACATATAAATATCATTAAACATCTGTAGTATCTTAATTCTTTGGAGGGCTTTTAAACTAAAATATAAACATTAAAATTAGACCACCATAATAACAGTGTCCAATATTTTTTTTATTTAATGTTTTGTTTTATAATGACATTCGTATAATTAGATATCAAACTTCACAAGGTAAGTTCGTTTGATTCTCAATTATTTTAACATCAAATATTTACAGATAGGTTAATACAGAAAATCTCCGCCCAACTTCCTTGAATAAGTAGATTTTGAGCTAAGTATTATTTATCATATTGATTTCTTATATTCCGAAATGGCAATAAAGCTAAATACAAACGCGATGAAACCGTTCAAAAGTTATTTCATAAATTATTTATCACTTTTTAAAATTTGAAGTCGGTTCTAATTAATGGAAAATGTTTTCATGACATACCAATTTTATTGTTTAATCATTAAGTGCGTTAAAGTGATTTTAAATATATCTTTGTATAGGTAATTTATCTTTTTGATTTAATTACTACAGTCCGCGCTATGCTGTCGATGACATTTACTCTCAGGGCTTTTAATTTGGAACACGTATGATAAAGTTTGTTAGCATATGCTTTGGTTTAAACAAAGGGTAAATAATTTTGTAGGCTATTATCTATATATTTACTTTCTTATTATATTTATTTACATTATACAATATCTATATCTAAAACAATAAAATTATTTATAACTAAATAATATCGATATGCGTACTCACTAGCGAGTAATAAGCACGCATGCGCGCGGCGCGGCGTATCGCTGGTCTTCTTCTTCTTAACTATAATGGGTCTCGCTGGTCGCGCACAGAGACATAAAAATAACTGTGCCATTCTAACTACAACGCGGAGTGCATGTAATATTTATTCTGTATTTTGCTTTTATTGTTATCGTGTTATTGCTTGTTTCTTTTTGCATGTGCATTAACTGTTTGTGCTTGAACTTTTCCTTCTTTACTTCTGTATTATATAAACTGTTTATATGGACGCTGATAATAAACATATTTTATCACGTAAGTTGTACAATAATTCTCAACCCTATTATATATTCATTCTAGATTTGGTGGATTCACTCACCACCACCACCAAAGTTTGAACTTCCTAATTTATTACATTACCCTGACATTATGAATATTTCCATGTGGTGTTTGGGCACATGTTTCGTGTTTGGGCATCTGATAAAAACAATACATAGATATATTGCACGGAGTACGCAGAGGACAAAACTGGACAAGACAGGCATTTGATTCAACGGAAGCACCTTGTTATGTGTTATATTTTGAGCTTCTTATTAAGGTGTAGAGTTTATAAAGTTAAGGCTTGCAGAGCCAAGATACCGCCAGTGTTTTTGGTGGTGGGATTAACTCGCACAAAACTTCCGCTACATTAACAACCTCAATTGAAGTTATTTTTCTATTTTATAAAGACGGTTTTTAATTTTTTGTTGTTGGGTTATTGTATATTAAATAATTAAGTATCAATATCTCATTTACAAGTACATCAAAATATAATAAATTAAATAGATCGTATAATATAAACTGCTATAATATTTAAATTACTTTGAAAAAAAATATTGCAAATTTTATCGTCGTGAATATTAAAATCGGATGGACACTTACCGCTAATACATAAATTATCATACATTAATCAGTTATACTAAATGTTAAAAGATTATTATAGTCGATCAGTTTTTAATTCACAATATTATACATAGGTATAATATATTATACATAATATTATACATAGGTGATTTCTCATTATTTTTCATTAAAGATATAGATCTTTAATGAAAAATAATGAGAAATCACCTTTCACAATCTTACCATTGAGCTACCCTAACCCAATAGAACTGATGAATTTTTCAAGCAGTTATAATTTTGGCTATTTCAATCCGAACCCGAATTCGAATTTACTCAGGTGGCCGAATTCACTTCAAAAGCAGCATCCGCTTAAACTGGACTTGGTAATAACATTTCCTGGCATAAGTGAAGTGTTTTCGAAATGACATAGGATTAGAATATCTGAGAGACGTATGAATCGATCAATCTTGTATTGTATTTTATAATAATGACTTGAATACGTGAGTGATTTTTATATTCGGGTTTGGAGTTTTACAGAATCGCTCTGCTGATCATATTAAATGGTTGATTTTAGCAGTCACCCGGATTGGTTATGGGTTTGAATCCCATCTCGGATGCCTGCGCGTGTATCATGACGAACTTAAGAACAACAGGCGATTGTAAAATTTACCTTCAAACCATTAAAATTTAAAATTCCCCTAATGCTCGATGAAAATGGTTGAAGTTTGTTGGCAAACTATAAACTAACCTACAATTGATAAAAGATTCTCAAGATTCATGAATCTTTAAAATGAGAGTATGTTATTGTGAATGTAAGATTATTAATCAAATATAATAAATTTTGTCATACCTACGTCATATCAAATATTTCTAGTTTTTTCTCCCAAAAAAAAATATTTAAATTGTTTTATTATACAATTTAGATTTTTTTTTTGTTAAAAAACACATATAATTAATAATTATTATTACATTCGTAAACTCAAATGTTTCGTTCTGTCCGTCTGATGACGACAGCGTTAAGATAGATACTATATTACTATTAGGGCGTATGTGCACTACACTGAATTTTCAGGTCCGGCAGTTCGATTTTTTCCGGTCCAATATGTCAGGCCATATGTAACATCTGTATATCACTGCATATGCCTTGGCAAACTTGATATAGTTCTAATTGGAACATTGTATGATTCTATTATCGATACTTTGCTAGAATCGTATTAAAATTATCGATCCCAAAACAATATCGAATCAAAAAGATCGATGATTTAAGGTAAGACAAATAAGTGATACAGAAATTGACTTAACCTTGAGAAAGAGCTACCTTTTATCGCGAAAAAAGGTAGCTCTTTCTCAAGGTTAAAAATGGAGGAAATAGAGGATGAGAGTTTTCATGGAAATTCGTGACTATCAAAATTTGTTTTTAGTATAAATAAATATTTGATAACAGAAATATTCTAGAAGGAAAAAAATTTGCTCAAAGAAACTATACCACGCGTATAAAATCACAGGTAAAAGCTAGTATGTAGCCAACTGATCTTACAATGATTATAGTTAAATCATGACAATAGGATGGCTGATTTAAATGCTACCGTTTAATAATTCATCTAGAAAATTAATTCTCCGCTTATACGGCACTAATTTCGCTTTGTTTACGAAATAGCGTCAAGGATCAGTCTGTCTGTAATCGCTTGAAGTTGTTTTTACAAAACTTAATAAATTTAAACATCAAGTACGAGAACATTATTAGTAATTTTATTAGAATGTCACAGATATTTTTAGCTATTATATATGAATAATGCTGTTCCTAAGGCGCCTATTACACTACCTAATCTATCGGGTACACTGTAAATTGGGTAGTCCAATTGCAGTTAGAGAGTTAGGGTCCCGATATCGGGTGAACGAGGGCGCCCGATCGCCCGATGAGAGTTAGGGCCGATTCATCGGGTAATGTGATCGCTGTTAAGGTGTTAGAGCGCTCAGTCGGTTGTTGCGCAGCGTGCGTGTGAGACGTCAGTTAACGACAACGAAATTTGCGAACAGACAAAAATGTCTTCTCAAAAGGAAAAGAAATAATATTAAGTGTAATTTAATATGTATACCGATTTATCGAGCAATGCGATCGCTGTTAGTTACGTGTTAGAGCCAGTGTTGCCACATGGTGGTTTTGCCACCAAATCTGGTTTTTAAGGTTTTCGGTGGCATTATTTCATCATTTAGCGTTATTTATTTTTTTAGTGGTTTTTAGCGGTTTTTCAATATGAAATCTGACAACACATTTTCTAGAGGGAAAATCCCTACTGTTTCAGAATTTTCTAATGCTCTATGTTAAGTCTATGACCGGGGAATCCGTAGGCGCATTCATTAGAGAAGCTTTTTTTTTTGAGAGTTATATTTTATGTGTCAGTCTATGTCCGGAATATCGTTCGTGTTGTTAAAAAGTCTTAAAGTTTGATAAATCCTATTGTGTAACAGAATGTGAAGCTGTAAATACAATCCAATAATGGAAGTTCCATTGAAGAAAAAAAAATACACACAAAAGTATAGAAAAGAGTGGGAATCATCAGATGAATTCAAGACTTTACCTAGTGATAATACGAAAGCGTTATGCTCATTTTGTAAAGCAGAATTATTAGCAAAATTAGTAGACTTAAGGAGACATGCTGAAACAAAAAAAAACACAAACAAAATGAAAATTACATCCGCCAATAAAACGATTCAATTCGCGCCTGGTAAAAAGTTTACAAACCCAAAATCTCGCCAAGCTGAAGGAATGCTCGCTCTATACACTATAGAACACAATTCAGTTTTCAGTTTTTTTTTCATCTAATAAATTTAGCAAAATTTACTTTCTCTGATTCCAAAGCAACGGGCGACCTAAAAATGCATCGGACCAAGTGTACTAAAGTTATTAAGAATGTTTTGGCGCCACATTTCGGTGAAGAACTAATAAAGAATATAGGAGGACAGAAATACAGTCTTATCATTGACGAATCAACCGACATCAGTACGAGCAAGCAACTAGGTATAGTAATCAGGTATTTCAGTCGAAAACTTTAAAAAAGTGTTACTTGCACTAGATACAACTATTTTAGCTGTCTTTTATACGAAATTGTTAGTTTTTAGTTAACGCAATTATATCTAATACACAAAAAACACTAATTTGCAATGTTTCTTTTATTCTGAGTTAATGTATTAATTTAGCGGTATTTGGTGGTTTTATTTTTACCAAAATGTATGAAATCTGGCGCTATTTTACTTTCGATCTAGCGCCTTAAGAAAATCCAAGGTGGCAACACTAGTTAGAGCGCTCAGTCGGTTGTTGTGCAGCGTGCGTGTGAGACGTCAGTGAACGACAACGAAATTTGCGAACAGAGAAAAATGTCTTCCCAAAAGAAATAATACTCAATATAATTTAATATTATTTATTTTTCTTAGCCTTATATAATATTTTAAACATTTATAGTTGCCCTGCATGTGTCTGGTACAATTTGGGATAGCAAGGGTTCTGATATCAATGATTTATACTTTAAGTCATGATATGCATTTCCCGTTGCTAAAAATCTTAAGGTTACAGCTAACCGCTGTTTAGCGCTTACACTAGTTCTAAATAGCGTATATTGTTTTTTTATATATGGTATGACTATGTTTAATATATGATCAAATTTTGCAGAACTCATTCTGAAGTAGTTCAAACAGCATAGTTTGTCTCTTAGAAGCAAATATTTTTTTCACGCAACATTTTCTTTTATTATTTACGTCCGTAGTTAAAGTAATGCTATGCCAATTTTTTGGTACTTTGTGAGCGCAGGAGCCATCCGCCACGTTTGCATGCCAACTGAGTTAGGGAGGCGATCTAGTGCAGTGTAATCACACCACCACTAAATCAACCGCCCTAGACACTGTCACTTATAAGGGGAGATACCTTTCACTTATAAGGGGATGAACCCAATATTTTTCTGTCTTCTACGTCTTCGTACGTAGAGTAATAAACCAAGAAATTGCCGACATTCCAAAATTTCATCATACCTAGCGTAAGTGGCGTGTAGCTTCAAAGAGAGCTGTCCTAAACTGCGCCGCTCCAATCCGGAAAAAACGGACAAGTGCACAAGCTACCAACCAGCCAAAAGCGGTTTTTAAACTATCCTAGAACCATGATTTCTTGAGGATTATATTAGTCTTATATCTGCATATAACCCCGGAAAAGGGCCCACTTTATAAGTACACCCTTGCTTACAGCGCGATTATATCAGGCCGCAGCCATCCCACTTTTGATCAAATGGCTCCTATATAGGGATTACACAAGTGTACTTTTACCTGAAAATGTCAATATAAATCCACTATAGTAAAAAGTGAGACTAACTCGGGCCTAGCTATGCCTCTACTAAGTATGCACCTAGTGTTTCAGTGAATTGTCAAATTGTTATGTAAAAAATTAAAAAGGTTGAGCAAAGGTGGTATTTATTAATATGATAACTAGAAATATTGTCAACCATAGTAGAAAAACATATCCTATTGTTCTTAGTATTTGTGTTGTCTATTTGCTGGGGAATTTGAATTTTCTGTAAACCTTATCTTGGTTTCGATTAAAATTTTAAAGCGCCTCTTAAAAATGGCTTATTAACACTTTTTGTATTCATTTATTTATCAAGAAATGTTAGGAAAAGTCGCCATTTTTTGGGTGACCTTTTCCAAGTATGATATAGGATTGATAAAAGTTAATTTAGTTCTACAATCGTAAGTGCAAACACCAAAGCAAATTTGCCATGTTGTTACCAATTAGGTGTCTACAATTATTACTGTCTCATCATGGGGCTCACACTGGAACTCGTAGATTCTGTTATGATAAATATTTAGTAACAATCGTGATTTTAATGGCTGATCGCAAATCCTATAGTAAGATTTGGGAAACCATTCAAATCGTGTTTTCGACTATATCAGTTGTTTCCAGAAAAAGGCCTTTAAAGAGTTCTAGCCAGGATTGTTTGAAGATTTCTTAGACAATAGCACAACTATGAAATACCCATATAAATCTACCTAGGCTTATATCGGCATATGACAAACCCCTATAAAGTGCATTTTTGCCTAGCGCAAATGGGCTTAAAGCGTTGTCTTATATGCGCATATAAGTCTGAGTTATCGGAGTAGTTCCTCTTGAGAGTAATTACTCTTAATACATGCTCTTAAAGGCGGCTTAGTCCAGTAGTAGTCATGAATTAAGATCCTATACACCGATATAACTCCATATTGTAGAAGTAAGCGTACTTGAGTAAAACAGGATTCACGTATGCTGATATAAGTGCAGTGGCATATTCTGAAACCATTATAGTAGCCATATAAGTCCAAACAGGATTATTAAATCACATGCCAGGATTATTTTGTTTGTTGGGTACTCATCTGGGTTTTTCATGTCACTCCGGACTGGAAAAATCGGACTGCTGGACCTTAAAATTCAGTGTAGTACCCAAATGCCCTTATTCTAATACGTTACATTTACCCTACTACACTCTCGTCGTGCCTATGCGATTCAATATTGTTTAGGCTTGCCAACAAGCAAGATGGAACGTGTAGTCGGCAGGAGCGTGCACAGAGATTTGGGGTAGAGGGTATGCAGTATGTACTTATATTGAAAAAAAAAACTTACTTACGTTTCAATACCTTCATATGAGTCCAGGAAGATCATTTATATATATTTTTAGTCACCATGAACATTGATTTGCAACTTATTTATAAATAACCACAAAATTATTTTGTTTTATCGAAATAGTAAGAACTATATAATGCCTTTTATTTTAGACATCGTTCACATAAACAGTCTGAACAATTCCTTAGTTTTTATAAATTAAATTAAGTATTCAAAAACGATAGGCATTTTTTTAATACTTAATTCAGCAAAACATCGTCGTAAAAATGTTAAGGTTGTTTTAAAGGTTGGCGACTTACTTCGTCATCATAACTATTAGTTTTTCTATTTTGTTAACTTCAGGTAATATGGTTTTTAAATATTTGTATGAACATTTTGATCGCTAACCAATTATCATTACACTTTTAATTAAAGAACGAGTAATATAAGCAGTCCTTTTGCGCAAACACTAACTCTTTTGATGACATCTTAATTTAATCATGTTGCGATAAGCTGTCCCCCTCAAAACCATGAATTTTACACACACAAACAAATGATATCTGCGTACAACACGAGTTTTAACTTGTCGTGTTTGTATGACTAATAAGCTGTAAGAAGTGCAACTTACGGCCACATCAGTGGCGGCGGTCGCTCACTGGAATATTCTAGTAGTAAAATAATTCCCAATTCTAAAACAACACTTCTTCTAGTGTTATCCTTCTTTGACACTCTTTTTGGTTAATGCTTTTTCCAAATTTTAAAACAGCCTTTCTTCTAGTGTAATCATCCATCTTTGACGTTCTATTTGGTTTACTCTTCACATAAATTTTTAATTAAAGATAGTTCGGAAAATTTATTTTCATTTACCTAATTTTTATATCATATTCTTTTTAATCTCACATAAATTTTAATTTTATTGTTACTACATTTCCCTACTTTAGGGCGTTATATTTGATCTTATTACCACTTTGGTTAAAGGCTTTATGTCTTCACTTATATTTACTTTTACCCGAGGCTACCTACATAGTCTTCGAAGTACTATATAGTACTCTATACTTTTTGAGCGGCTGACTACTCGTTAAATAAGCCTTAGGTCTGAGCGGTTGACTACTTATTAAATAAGCCTTAGGTTGGAGCGGTTGATAACTCCTTAAATAAGCCTAGATCATTTTTTTTTCCTTATATGCAGCAATTGACAACTCCTTAAATAAGCCTATAAGTCATATGAGATCACACTTCTAGAGTGGTAGTCATTGAATGTAACCTTTCGTAATTTAAAATTTTGACTAATCAAATATACTCTTTATTGATGTCAGTTCGTAAAAATTTATCTTTTATAAATGTAAATCGTATAAATTTAAAAATATCAATATTATAAATATAAAGATAAGTGTCTAAAATAAAAATTATAAATAGAATATACATAAAATTATGTATATCCTGTAATAGCGTCCAAGTTTTTATTAAGAAACCCAAAAAGGGGTATGTATTCGTTTTAATTGGTAATTTTATATTTAGGTAACTTGCGAACTGTTTCTACATTCATTTTTTGTTTGTTACAGTTTCTTTTCTTTACCCATTATTACCATAAAATAAATAGATTACTCAAGCTAGTCAGCCTTTCAATTATTGGCCCAAGCACCGAACCCGTCACAGTTCTGTCAACTTTTGATAGATGGCACTTTTACTAATTCGACCAAACTATGATCATGAGTCTGTGAATACTCGTATCGAGTTAATTTCTGAATATGTAAGAATTATCCAATGTGGGTTTAGTTGAATTTTATGGATAAGGTATGCAGTGCTTATTTGCATGTATGGTGTGCTCGCGACTGGTAGTCGGCCCTTTGCACCCATAAGATAATCAGTGTTAAATTGTTACGGTAATTACCCTATTATTTGTTCTTTGCTTGTGGTTCATTTAATTTGTAGTATAAAATATTTTTTAACAATAGACATACATTGACAACGCCATTTCTAAAACAAATTGATATAGTTTTTTAAAGAAGAGATATTTCTAGGTAATATTAAAGATTTATTCATAGAAATACTATAATATTGAAATGTATAAAATTTTGTTATAATCATAATATGTTATTTTTAATAAAAGAACAATTTTAATCACAGTAAAGTCATCGCCACTAATATTATAATGTAAAGTGTATCTGTTTGTTTTTCCTGTTCTTAAAGATTCCGGGAGGGAATTACGATATTTATTATTATAGGTCCCTCATAGGTAATGAGGAAAATATTAAATAATTTTATTTTAGACGAGGCCGATTTTAGAATTTTATTTAATGACATCTCGCTAAGTCAAATAAAAACAATCGATCACCCTTCCCAAGTACAAAGAGCATTAAAAGTATACTTTAATTGATA